CAACAGACAAACCTAACCAATAACCTGAGGATCGACATGATGCACAAAAGAATGTTATTTGGAATACTTCTGTTGTCCCTTTTCATCGACAGCAGCTTTGGAATTGGAATGTTTTGCCCTAAAAAGGACCCTAGACCGGTAAATTTTCTCTGTTTTATCATCTGTAAAGAACCTATTCTGCTTTATCGGAATCACCCTTTAAGTAAACCCAGTTCTGTCTCGTAATTATGATTAAGTTCGAGTTCAAACATAGCGGTATTTGGGAGAAAAATGCCTCCCTCGCTGTCCTTAAATTCAGGCTTTGTAAAAGCACCAGCCATCACTCATCGCAAGATTAGCAAGCAACATGTTACACCAGCCTTTTAAAGATTTCTTTTTCTGACCCAAAAAATATTTCTTTCTTGTCCTTTATTTAAGTTAGAGTATTCGCGTTTTTTTATATGACATATATCATTTCGTCCATCACAGAACTGCAAGAAAAGTCTGGCCAAAAGACAGATATGTTCGATTGCCAGGCGCGTGGACTGCGAAAAATTTCTACGTGACCAGCCTGAGGATGATGCAAATTTAGGAACGCAGCAGACATGGAGCTATGAACCTGAAGTTGATGTAAATCGTTTGCCAAAAGCTTTAAACGATTTCATAAAATGAAAACAGCCATTGCAATACTAAGAGTATCTTAGTTTATTTTAATTGCCTACAACTACTAACAGTTGCTATTTTACTCGTCTCCAACTTTTGATTTGAAATCAAATAAATTTAGACATTCCATTATATTGAACCCTCTGTAAGTTGTCCTTGTAAGCAAGTTGTAAAGTATTCAATTCTGAGTGACGTTCACCCGTTTACAGACGGAAAGAAGTCCTTTTGATCATGTTGTTTCCTAGTTCGTGCGAGGTACTCCTGAAAACGCAGATGGTCGGTAGTAGGGAATGAATTTGAAACTCGCTGGAATAATGATCTCCTCTCCGTCTCAAATTCCCACCTCCCAAGAAATAAACAGCTGCTCCCCTACTTTTTCAATTCATAGACGCAGCGAAGCGCCAAAATTTTTCATAATGTTCCTTGTGAGGTCCGTTGTCCAGTGTTTAAGTGTGAAAGTTTTTAGAAAAATAGTTATTCAAATAAATTCCTACAAGTCAAGAATCAACGCTTGACTGATAGGAATTGATGAGACAGAGAGAACTCGTAGTTTTCCTAACTATCCCTAAAGGGGGTTTTCAATCATCTAATAAGCAGTTATGTAAATTTATTGGAACAAAACACACTCCCTTTCATAAAAAGGAGAGTTTAACTCCCATAAGACTGATCCGAAAACAAACACGGCCGCCATAGCGTGACATGAGAACGAGTTGCGGTGGATCAATATGTTGATTGGGACAGCAACCACAAGATAAGGGTAAACCTATACAATTGCACCTGTCCTGTGAAGATTTCCTAATTCATTTTTTAAAGAAAGTACATTACCTAACTCTTTCTTAGGTCTATTTAAGATAGACTTGTTTCAACAAAAATAATTGCGAAAAAATCTAAGCAAGAAAATTGTTTTCAAATTTTTTTTAAATTTGATTCAAGATTTGTTCAAGTCACTGATCTTACGTTTTTTGTCAGAAGGGTTCTTCTTCTCTCTCTAATTTAGAAGGGTAAATTGAATGGAGCTTGATTCAAACGTCATTCATCATTCGTTATGAAGCATTTTTCCGCTGACAGTTACCGGACAGGTAATAGCATGATTATCGAGTGTAATTTGGTATAGGAAAACAAAATTGAACGAGCCCGTGGGGCGATTACAATTTGTAGTCTTCAAAAATTTAGAAATGCTTATTTTCACCAAATTGGACGTAAAATCCTGTCGTTACCAGTAAATAATTCACATAGATAAAGCATCACAGAAAGTCAAGTCAGACGAAATTTTGACAGCGTTCGCGTGCTATTTGGGAGTTACACTCGTTTTCAGCCTATCAGAAGCGCGTCATTTTTTCTTGTATATTAATACAGGTTTAATTTGTAAGAAATGATGAGTGAAAGGAGACCAAACAGAAAAAAATACCAGTTTTTTACTAATTTACTTCAATAGTAATTTCCTCAACGAAGGATCTTTGGATCAAAAGAAATGAGAGCAGGAACAGGATACTCAGCGCGCGATTTTTGCTTCCATCTCCTTGCTGCTTTTCTTATAGAAACAGTTAGCTTAGCGCTGGAGTCAGTTTGATGAGGATAGAAAGCGCAATGAGCCTAACTGATCAGAGAAAGTTCTTTGAATGCTTTTATCCTTTTTCAGTTTGTCGTGATATGTAAGACGATATTGATGAGATCGTTTTTCCTCACATCCTATATGGTTTTCAGTAAAGGAGCCAAATAAACCATTAGTTCAAATCGAAACACTTGTGTGCTTGTCTTCGGTAAATTTCAATTTACGTAAATTTTCTGACGCACCATATGAGTTTCACCTACGCAATGACGCAACGACGGTCTGGTCAATGGATTCATATGTCATTTGTCTTTAAGCTTTTTCTTCTTCGATAGCTGTAGAGAACATTACAGTGGGGGCTGGAAACTTCCCCCTTGAGCTGGTTTTGGAAATGACGCTTTAAAAAACATGTGTTGTCTCTTAAATATGAAACACATTTCCTCTGACTTTAAGATATAACTATTCTGTCCCTTTAACTACTCTTATTTGTCAATCAGTGACACTGCTCTTGACCAGGCAGAGGGATTTTATTCTTATCAGGACACATTTTGAAATTCAAATGAGTCGATCAAAATTTTTTTATTTATTTATCTATTTTCCTAATACTTGCTTTCCATCTAAGCGATGATTCTTAACAAGAAATATCCACCCATTCCACCCCAGGAGAGGACATCCATCCCAGTAGTCTTGTGCGTGGGAAATTAACGTCTCCTGCCCCTAACCCTGCAGGAGACGGGACCTCCATTTATTCGACCCTGTCCGAGAAGACTAGAATATCTAACTATTTCTTGATGTTATAGAAAGGCAGCATATTCTTCTCAATTATTTTAAGACCCTGAGTGTTGGTCCGGCCGGGGCTCGAACCGTCGACCTCCCACACAACAGTCCAGCGCTCTATCCATTGAGCTAACTGGGAGGCGGTGAGTAACAGAAACAGTCGTTTTACATATTTTCTAACTGCAAGAAAGAGTATTTATTACTGCCGTGATCAATGAACTCAAATGAATGTGGTGTTTAGCTCGCTTAAATTTTGGTTAAGGTAACTTGGGGAAGGGTCGAACTNTATAACTATTCTGTCCCTTTAACTACTCTTATTTGTCAATCAGTGACACTGCTCTTGACCAGGCAGAGGGATTTTATTCTTATCAGGACACATTTTGAAATTCAAATGAGTCGATCAAAATTTTTTTATTTATTTATCTATTTTCCTAATACTTGCTTTCCATCTAAGCGATGATTCTTAACAAGAAATATCCACCCATTCCACCCCAGGAGAGGACATCCATCCCAGTAGTCTTGTGCGTGGGAAATTAACGTCTCCTGCCCCTAACCCTGCAGGAGACGGGACCTCCATTTATTCGACGCTATCCGAGAAGACTAGAATATCTAACTATTTCTTGATGTTATAGAAAGACAGCATATTCTTCTCAATTATTTTAAGACCCTGAGTGTTGGTCCGGCCGGGGCTCGAACCGTCGACCTCCCACACAACAGTCCAGCGCTCTATCCATTGAGCTAACTGGGAGGCGGTGAGTAACAGAAACAGTCGTTTTACATATTTTCTAACTGCAAGAAAGAGTATTTATTACTGCCGTGATCAATGAACTCAAATGAATGTGGAGTTTAGCTCGCTTAAATTTTGGCTAAGGTAACTTGGGGAAGGGTCGAACTAGGATAAGGTTCTTTTACACCTATTTTGTAGAATGGTCTTATGAAACGACCCTTTTCAGTTGCTAATGGACAATCCCTTAATAAAAATTTATTCTTCAGAAGGCTGTTTTACAATAAGATTGAACAAAGGCAATGCAGCACTTAAACGTTGTAAGAGGGGAGGGGAGATTAGTGGAATCTATAATGCACTGGATCAATCGCATACCCTGTCGAGAAACAGCGCGAGAATTCTACCACAGTCAAGGGATCGTTAATGGCGAGACAGAGTAAAATCTTAGTATTTCCATAAGGGCGATTTCAATCACTCGGTATGCGCTAGGAACCCGTGTTGGGCTCCTGCATGCACCTATGTAAATTTATTGGAGCATAGAAACTGTTCTGCATAAGAAAATAGTTTAAGAACGTGTCCACGAGAGCACCAGGCAGTCTTGATACATGCCATCTCACCGATTTCAATGAAACTTTGCCAGTTCAAAGGATCTATCCCAAAACTCAAAATGACAAACTGGTTTCTGCTTTGGTTATTTCCGGGGGGGAGATAGACCACCCCCCGGTTTTTCTAGTTTTTCTCTAAAAAATCGCCTCAAAACAGGTAAAATGTAAGAAGCTCTTACTGCAACTGTATTTCACAAATTACTGTGATGGCTTACATACGTATCGGTACATCCTTAATAGATGTACGATACAAGTATCAATCGATTTAAGTGACGGCTTGTGAATCAACAGAGGTGAATCAATTAGTGTGATTTTACACTTTTCGACTCACTCAAATATTTGGTAACTTTGAGGTCAAATATCTCTCCTTGCCAGAAAGCTACGATACTAATTTGCATGGAAAGAGAAGTTACATGTTAATCACTTCTGGGAGTTGAAGGGTTCAGATGATAGTCTAATTTCTGTTCATTTTGATGATTTATTCACTTCTTCCACTGCGAGCAAAACTTTTTTTTTCCTTCAAAAATTCTCACATAAGCGGAGTAATCATTGAATAAAAAATGACATGCAACTTAAAAAACCAACATTCAGAATTTAAAACACGGTGCGGCCACCAGACTCGAATCAAAAAAAGCTTGTTATATATATATATTGCTAAGGGGGAGACTACCATCATAAAGGTGAATAGCTACACTTGCACGAATAATGATGAACAAATCAACTTTAATTTTATGCTCAAAGACACAACTACAATCATGTATTTATTCAAAAGAAACTCGACTGAGCAAGGGTTGCACTGCTCATCTTCTCTGTTATCCTTTGACGGGTCAGGATAATCACCCTTTGTCGGGAGCCTGCAGGTTAGTTAGTCCAAGGGAATCCCCTCCTCTGCAGATTAGTCCAAGGGAATCCCCTCTTCTGCAGATTAGTCCAAGGGAATCCTCTTTTCTGGTCCCTTTGGGTAAGGAGCCAGGAAACTCCCCTCCTCATAGCTGCCTGCACGCTCGCGGCATGAACACTTTTTGGATGAATCATGTCTGTAACGGATCTGCGGTGTGACGGAGCAACACTACAATGTTCTGGTATCTTTAATTTTTCAGGATCAACGCTGGTTCTTAAGTCGAAATACCTGAATACAAACAAAAAATCGTCAGTAAGCCTCGCTGCTAAAATATAAAGTTTGAGATTGGAACTGCATATTAACAAAAATCGTCAGTAAGCCTCGCTGCTAAAATATAAAGTTTGAGATAGGAACTGCATTGATTTGATGTTCTTTTAGGCGAACTTTATTTAGTTCGGACTTTAATAAGTGGATTTGCACGATTCAGGGAAGCTGTGTTATACCATCACCTAACCAACTGTGTGACAGAAACCAAAAACAGCGATAAAAACAAAACACAACTAAAGCGCAGCTTGGCATACGCGAGCCTGCATCGCAGGGTTTTCTATGTCTACTTAGGTCTCACGTAATTTGAGCTTGGTTGTTGTTGTTACCATGTTGTCGTCAGTAACATGCAAGATTTGCCATAGGCAAGCTAGGAATCGAATATTAGTAAGACAACAAGCACACAAGTAAACTCTGTCGGACTCACAGAACTTAAGTGAAAACGTTTTAAAGTGGAAGACGTCTTTAGGAAGCATTTGGAAGAATCACATCTAAACAATTCGCTCACCGCTTGCGTCTCAAAAGTATCTTAGCTCCAGCGCTCTAATGGGTACACAAACTTTTACTTTCGAAAAGCTGTGTTACAGGCGATCAGCCGCTCAAATAAGAAAAATAAAAAAGGATATAGGAAGAAAAATACTATGATAAGCGAAGGCAAAAGGAGAAAGTATAACAACTCATATTGGGTTTAGCAAACTTTGCGCCATCTTCTAAAGCAAGTGGGTGACAATAAAAATTGGATCAACACTTGGTCGCCCAAGTTTTCACGCCCAAGAGTAATTTTGCCTGTTTTTACTTTCTCCGGGGATTAATTTTGAGATTTTTCGTCTCTCTCATAGGTTTTGTGGATAGAGAAGGCTTTCGGTGGAGAAACTCAATCGGAATGTGCTTTACATATTTATAGTCTATTCAATACCTTGCAGAGGTAGCAGATCCCGGTTCCGTTGAACCAAAGCTGACTGGTATGCACTGGGCGCCAGACTCGAAAGTAATAATGAAATGAGCTGCAGGTTGAAACATCCACATCAATTACCCTCAGTAATTCATGTAATTTAAATCTTTCTGTCCTACCGCCTTGACAATGGTTGTAAAACTGCATTCAATTCATTTACAAATTCATGGTACGTTTTTAAAATCTCTTATCTCCATCACTCAGTGTCGTTCAGGTCTATTTATCTTAATTGTATGTCCAGTTACTGCTCACGCTTGCAGATATTTTCAACGCTCAGCGATAGAAGGCGTCGATACGGCTAACGTTAGCCGCTCTCGTATTTCATCAAGACTTCACTTTTTGCTCTCGTTTTTTGCTTTTTTTGAGCTTTTTCTCTCGCCTTTACTTTTCAGTGTTGTCTTCAAGTCATTTTAACTGAAGTAAAACATATTTCTTAGCAACCAAAGAGAGAAGAGATCATTTTAAGAGAGTAATAGTTTTCTGGGGAAAACTCGATAATGTAGTTTCCAGATCTTACGCCGAAACTTTTGCAAAAGAAGTACTTCACTTGCCTTTATCTATCACTCCTCCGTACACATCAACCAAGGTTCCTTTCATTCCAAGTTTTCCACTCGTGTACTCTGTCAGGGCCTTAAGATTTTCAGTCGGAAATATTTCACCGTCAAGCGATGAAACATAACATCTCTCAGATGCTACCGTGTATACCTTGCTCTGTGGGGAAAATTTCCAAACCATATATATTCATTTGCGAATGGGTCGAATAAACCGGAGTGGATTAAAATCAGGTTATTCTGGTAAGAGGTGGTAATATCACTTAAACATATATTCGAAGCACTCTTAGAAATACATACAAATAAATCAATTCAAAAGAGTAAGCAAACAATTCAAACAATTAAAAGCGCAGACGAAAACAAAAAAGGAACACAAATAAAGAAGAATGGAACAAACAAAAGCAAAAAGTGAAAGAAATAAAAGATAAAGAATATTTTGGTCGGATTCTTAATAATTAGCGAGCTTTAATTCCATGATTTCCAACAAATGATTAAACAAAGAAAGAAAAAAACCGAACGTAATTTACCTCTTTGTAATCCATTATCGAGTTATATTCTTGACCGTCAATTCTTGAGGTGAATTGCGCTATCTCTTGTTCTGAGTCCATGTTGAATGTCATGTCAATCTTAGACGTGCCTCCAGAGCCAGAGAAGGTTACCTGTAGATTGGAAAAACACGGATCCATAAAAATTGCCTGATTTTTTTTATCGTTTCCCAAAGAGGGTTTTAGTAGCCACTTCCAATTTCCCCGGCCACGCGCGAAGTATATTTGGAACACTATGAGCGCTGTTCTTTAAAAGAGTAAAGGTTCTTTTGACTAGTATTAGTTTAATCTAATGTTTATCAAAAAATAGGTTAAGAATCAGAGGTTTATATTCATACAGATATATGTATTTATGCATGTAAATATGTACGTATGTAGGCGTAATTGAGGCGTATGTATGTAGGCATAATTGAGCACTCCTACAACGAGGCTTTTCAGGCCCACTACGAACAAATTGGAAAACAAACGATTGTTTCTGCGAAAGTTTTTGATCCTTCTCGAGACCTAAGAAATATCTAATTCAATTAAGATTGCCTTAGGTGAACTCCCAAGCAAGGTTTACTCGTTCCACGCCAAATATGTACATTCAAAGAGCTTTTACCTTTATTGACCTAATAAACTTATTTATTTACTTCTTGCTGATTATCATTTATTGCTGCTGATGTTTATTTATCGCCTGACAGCACTTAATCCCTGGTTTTCACTAGCGACGCAAGAACAAGCCCTGGCGTAAGCCCATAGGCAGGTTTATGCCAAATGAAAACGAACGTCGATAAGCAAACGCCTAAGCGCAAGAAAAAGGACAAATGTTTCATCACTTTGCTTGTACTTGCGCTTGTGTCTATGCTTGCGTTAAGGCCTTTTTCACGGTAAAATGAGAGCTGCTATGCCTGCGTTAGCAATTGCGCTTTTGCTTGCGCCGCTTGTGAAAATCCCGCTTAGCTTTAGCAACTGATTAAACTGACTGAAAACTCTTGATTGAAAATAAATTGAACCGGCTTACCATGTAGAGTCTTCCCGACAATTGCTTTGGAAATGCTAAAGATGACAATAGTAAGAAAAGTACGTTATTCAATGAAAGCTGGGAAAGAAATGATAAGATAGAATTCTTGAATAATCTCAGGCTGTATAAGGTTAGCAGGTTACAGTTATTATAGTTAAACCGTTTGAAATTCAAAGGTTCGAAATTAGAGCAGTAATAAAGTCTTCTTCTTACTGCAACTCAGGTCTCTCTTTTCCGGCTTTGGTCTGGCGCTGGCAAAGCCAAAAAGAAGCACAACCGCAAGAAAAAAAGCCTTCATCATCAAACGACGCTATATCACTCAACTGCAATGTAGAGCCTCTGCTTCATCTTTTTTATCCTACCAAATGTGTAAACAGCCGTTGGGAGCTCATCAAATTGTAAAACGTCTTGAGTGATGTAAAAGGAGAAAATTGCTTAATTAATTATATGGAATTACACCACATATTGCTCCAAAAACAATTTAAAGCACAGCTGCTCAAAGCTTTTAAAACTTCTTAACATTATTTCAAAATTAGATTTGGTCAGTTGAAGGGGCGAAATTACATGCAGATTTTATGGAAAGTGGTCTCTAATGTGACGCATAAAGGTTTGCAGACTTTTCGGTATGTCCTTAATAATGAAGAGATAAGTTTCCGAAGAAAAAAAAATGCAACGAAATAATTGAAAATAATTGAAAGAAGCTAAGCTTATGACTTTTAGGCCAACGCTTTTAAGAAACTTTTCACGGCAACGGGATAACATTTGAGTTTGCGAGTGGTTTTTTTTTTTTTTTTTTTCCTCCATTTTTTATTTGCTGTGTAATTCCTTGGGAACTCAGGTAATATGTTCTTAAAAGTTCTTAAAGAGATTTAGCACCGCGTTCACGTGAAACATGAACGGCAAGAGTGACCACGTGACCTTGTTTTTTCCCCGCCATTTTTTCACGTTTTCCAGTTGCGCTTTGCCATTTCTACGTGGAAGTAAACTGTTTCGCGTTTGCCGTGTGCGAAAGATTTTCTTCACTTTTTTCTCTTGGAGAGTAGAAGCTAACTGCCGAGAAAGGGCACCAGAACTGTTCGTTGTAAGTCATACTAGGGCGCCTTCAAATCCACCATGAAGTGCATGAGCTCGCGCGAAACTAAAGCAGCAAGGTTTACGCTATTTTACGTGAAACGTGGAAGGGAAATCTGACGTTTGCCACTTCAAGTTAACCCGATGCTAAATTGCTCTATTAATATGTCCCTGATACGTCGAGTGCTTCTTTTGTGATGTTCGCTACAAGGTAAAGAAATGGCCAACCCACAAGATAACATTCCCGAAAATATAATTCCTACTCCATACAGTAATTAACCTAAGACTTACTAAATGCTTACATAATTTTCAAAAGGATAATTTAGCTTCTAATTCAAAGTGCTTTCATGCTTAAGATGAAATTTAAGAACGTTTAAAAGTTCATATGCCTCGAAAGAAAAAAATTGTTACATGTAAAAACTAAGTAAATAGTAAATCTCGCAAACATATATGAATCGCCTTTTAAATTTGTAGCTTTAAATTGTTTGATATTTGCATTCTTTCCCCCTAATTGCCTTCAAATGGACAAAAAACACGAATAGAATGCTGCAACACGAGGAACTTTATCTCCAAAACTCTATCATTAGCGCAAATCGTTTTACCCGTTCCAGTCATTTTCGACAAATCTGGGATACAGGGCTTAACTTTAGGAATTATTTGCTCTTCCAGCAAGCTGACTGCTTTGACTATTTAAAGGAAAGTGGTCCTCATTTTGCAAAACGATTATCAATGAAATAGGTAAACAGCAATTTCCCTCTATAACGTAAAATTCTCTCTTTTTATTAAAAAAAAATGCATCGGTGCTTGTAGGAAAAGTATCACTTAGAAAGTGCTCACTGATTCACCCAATCACAATGTCAATTAATCATTCATTGTGTGATTCCTTGACTACTTTAATATGAGTCGAAAGGAAAAAACGACAAAGTTACTTCAAACAGAAGTTAATTGGCAGGGTGAACCGGATCATTAGCCCTTAGCAGCGTTATCAATTTGCAGAACTGAAGGACTCTTTCACCTAGTCATGTGGCATCGTCAATAATTACATCAACATAATTTTTCGTCTTTTTTGTATCACCGTAGTTCTGCTTAGCACACCCATTTTCCACTTCAATCCATGTAACTTTAGAGAGAAAGTGCGGACAGCTTTTTTTCCCCGGCAGCTAAAGAGGTGTAATTGGATTCTCCAAGTGTTTACATCACTAAATACTTTGCGCTTTCTGGCTCGCACTTACACCCAAGTTACATTGTTTTTAGCAGTGTTGGTCTGCAATCTGAAGTCAGGGTCATTCGGTCTCACTCCAGACATGAACACAATACTTTTCCTGCTTCTTAATCAACGGCCCACTCAACTTTCTACCCTGGGCCAGGGTATCTGTAGACACCGTAAAACTGCAATGAGAATAAATGATCCGGATTAAATTCTGAGAGTGGATTTGCTGGTGGGTCAATCGAGGTGGAAGCCTTAGCGAGGTTCTTGCAATCGAATGCATTTGTTGAAAGATGATTATTATTTAGTGGATGCCTAGGGATATTCGGAAAGAAGACCCCCTAAAGCTCCCGATGGGAATCGAATGTATGATTGATCTTCTGATTAGTACTTCGGATGCACTACCACTGAGGCTCGAGGTAGGCAAGGCCGTTTATGGAGGTCCAAAATGACAAGCCCCCTGCATGCTGTTAAGAATTCTTATTGCTCATTTTATAACATTGTAAGAGTTCGAATCGTGCTTGTCAATGAGGACAGGCTCTTCAAAGTTAGGAATTTGCATTTTATTCCTTTTTTTTTTAGCTGCATATACTTCTGTACTTATTTGTTTCAACAGAGTGCTGTGAGGAAATTTGAGCCCTTGAACATGCTGAAAGCCGAGTCTGTTCAACAAACTTTACAATCTGCTTTATAGTTATCTTTGACACACTTCTCCTGTTTCAGAGCTTTATTACCCCATTATGCCAGAGTCTTTTTTTTTATTTCCTCTCACCATAGAAATGATTTGTTTCCGTGCAGTCATAACAAGTCGTAAGGTTTAACTTTTTTATTCTCCTTGTGATTAATTCTTTTTTTTTGTAATTATTCATTTTTCATTTATTTTTATCCCAACTCTAAACTGTAGTTTTCTTGCGGGCTAGGTAAACACGAACTTGAACGAGCTTGAGGTCTTACGCCTTAAAAAATTCTTATGGAGAAACTGAAATACAGTTTTTTCTTCTCTTCTTTTGGTTTACCAAGCTATCAACAACAGCAGCGACAACAAAAATAGGTGATAAAAATAGCAGAAAAGTCAACTTTCATCGGTCCAATCTTTCATGTAGATCACCCGTTGTTATGACTACCTTTATGTGCCGACCGCCCACTAGATCAACACGGCCAGCGACCACTTTTTAGCACTTTTTTTCCTTTCATTTTGCTAAGTCTTAAGCAACACAGTTATAGATCATTACATATCGTTGTGCACGTCCACGGTGCAGCTGTTTCCCACAAGGTCAAATGGAAGCTGTCTCTGAAGTTTCTGTAATGCTGTATTTTAAAGTTCCAAATGATAAAACTGAGATTATAGCGATGTGCGCAAGGCACTCGTTGAGTTGTTGATGTATACTAGGTCAAATGGAAGCTGTCTCTGAAGTTTCTGTAATGCTGTATTTTACAGTTCCAAATGTTAAAACTGAGAATATAGCGACGTGCGCGAGGCACTCGTTGAGTTATGCCTCAATGGGGGTTAACTCTTAGCCGTAAAACGACCAGAAAAAAATCGGACTTTAGACGTAAAAATTGACCCGTTTTTGTTATTAGTCGTAAAAAAAGGGAATCGTAAACAAATTGTATTTAAACCCTACTGGAAAGAAATTAACCGTCAGCCGTAAAAGTCATCACCCAGTTGACACCGTCGTCATGAGACGAGAAGACAAAACGAGAATGTTTAAGTACTGTTGTCTCTTTCTAAGAGCAAATACGTTAAAAAGTAAAATATGACCAAAAATACAATAATGAAAATTGTGAAAGCAGCCGTTCATTAGGTGATAACGCCTTCACACCGAAAGTTGGCAATCATTACTTAAGCGCGCTAAACATATTTATTTCTACTGTAAAATTTGCTTTCGACTTGGTGATCTGACACGTTTTGAAGAAGTTACAAATTTACAGATACGACGTAAATTTATCAAAAATCCTTTCAGATAAGAATTCAAGAACTTCAAGATTATCTTAAATTTGTCGAAAAGTTGAAAGAAAGAAAAAACAGACTTATATGGGTAAAAAACCTGCATGCGTTTGAAATATTGTATGATGTTGATTACAAACACCCCCCCTTAGCTGAGCAAACAACCTGGTGGTTGAGTTATTGGTGAACCATTCAAATACATCACAGCTAGATGTTGAGTTTTTTCCTTATTGACTTGGGCTATTTCTCTGGCTCGTTTTCGACGAGAAATGTTCTTTACTGCTTTTGAATTTTCTCGGCGAATCTCCTGAATTCGCCTACAATAAAGAAAAGGGTTTAATGATGCATTGGCGAACAACACTGTTATTGGAAAGCTCAAACAGGCGATCTTCACCGAATCTCTACCGGTTATTTCTATAACAACAAACAGCGACAAATACGAAACGTAACAGAAAATTAATAGAGTATAGATATAAAAAATTGTGACCAAGGATGGTCGATAAAGCTGAAGATGGGGCGTGTTTTCGATCACGCGAAAAATAACTTGCGATTCGGGATCCTGAATTTGGAAACGTGACGTGATGATAGAGTTTTGTAGCGTGCGTAGGCGAATTTGAAGGGTGATATAAGCTGCGGCGCATATCAAGCCGGACAGATGATCACGCTTGCAATATTGAAGACTTGATAAATCTTGATATTTTTTATCCAGGCAATGACCCACAAGCTTGTAGCTGACCGAAGAAAAAGTAGTAAAGTGGCAACACGTCTCAGAGAAATTGCTACGTTGTACTCCTTTTTGAAATGAAGCGCCAGTAGTTTGTCAATAGCGATCGCAGTCACAGTCAAGAAAGACACGGCCGAAAACATATTAGAAGATAAATGAAAGCCGATCCCAGCGACACAAAACACTTGAAAGCTATCGTTCACTTCGGCCGCTTTGTAAGTGATATAAAGCGGTTGATTGAGGGCGTTGACTCCGAGGTCTGACATCGCAATGCTGAAGAGGAGAGCTTTTGATGGGGAGCGAAGCGTCGAAGACGACCTTGTTCAACGCCCAGAGAATCGCTGAATTTCCAACGATCGCTGTAACGGACAAAACTACGTTGAGCACTCAATTTATGATGAATGGCAATCTCAACGCATTTTGACTATAGACTAACAATCGAGTCAGGTAGAAGCATGAGAGATTTAAACTCGTGTTCATCACTCTGGTAATATAGGCAATTGATTTCTGACCTCAACGAAAACTCTTTCGACGACTAAAAAGCCCGTAAAATGGCTTATATAAACGCACCCGACATAAGGTCAGTAGGCACAAAAAAACAATACCAAGAGGTACCAAGAATCTTTAGATTAGTATGACATGTTCGTCTTTCTCATGGAAATCATCCGGATCTGATGGGAATTTGACCAATCATGAGTTGATGAGTACGTTGTTTAAAAAAAAAATAACTCGACACGACAGGGAAGTGGCGAAACAACGAGATTGTTGAGTAGGAGGGCATTTTTTTCCTGCGAAAAAAGCCGCGGTTATAGCCTCAACAAAAGGAATTTTAAAAAATTTAAAATTTAACTTAAAATTTCCACCCACGAGAGCGCTTAGCTATTACCGACCCGTTGCAGCGGCAAAAGTTTCCAAATTCCGCTGCATCGATCCGAGAGTCCCCCGTTTTACCACCCATTCTGGCTAAATCGCTTTGTTGGTAATCCTTTTGCGCTTACTACCACAGGCATCCCAAGCTCACGTCTCAAGCAAAAGCGAAGGATTATTTCGTGAAAGCATCACGCGCTGTGTGACGCGATGTTAAGTTACGCAAGTAAAGCAGTGATGGCAAAGCAAGCCCAGAACAACAGAAATCGCCAAAAAACACAACAGAAACACAAGGAATCATCAAGCTATTCTTTATAACGCATTCAACGGTTGTCCGCGTAACTTAACACCGCGTCACACAATGCGTGACGCATTCATGAAATAATCCTTCGCTTTTGCTCAAGACGTGAGCTTGAGACACCTGTGTTACTACGAGATTCAAATATCAAAGCGCATTTTACCAAATAAAAGACTCTCCCAGGGGATCGTTAGGAAGGTTGTTCAGTTTTCCCTATTGTCAAACAACACCGTCTTGGGAGTCGTGCGTGTCATTCGACCCAAAGTGCTTTGATATTTGAATCGTAGTAAGGGCAAAAGGATTACGTGTACGTACCTACAAAGCGATTTAGTCAGAATGGGTGGTAAAACGGAGCGGCTCTCAGATCGATGCAGGGAAATTTGGAAACTTTAGCGTTGGAACGGGTAGGTAATAGTTAAGCGCTCTCGTAGGTGGAAATTTGGGGAAGATCGGTCGACTTTTGTGGAATTTATCGGCCTTTGAGTGGAGACGGTTGGTGTTCGGGACCGGTCGAAGTTTCCAGTCTTGAGTTTTCTTATACATGGTTGACCAGTACCACACGCGTTACAAAGAAAGTCGCCAAAACAGCGTTAAATTGACTGTAAACGACAAAGTAGCTACGGAAAAAAGGAAAGGAGACTTCATACGATATATTCCTCGCTTTTATTTCCCTTTTAATTTTTTCTTCATTTTTCTTATCATTTTTCCTATTATAAAGTTGACTCAGGTGACACTGCACGTGTTACAAAGTAAGTCGCCAAAACAGCGTTAAAACGACCGTTGGCAACAAAGCGGCTACAGAAAAAAAAAGTAAGGAGACTTCACATGTTTTATTCCTCGCTTTTATTATCCTTTTAAATTTTCTCTTTTTTTTTTTTTTTTTTTTTTTTTTTTTTCAATTTGTCTTTTTAACGGCCCACACGTACGCTTGAAATTCGATCTTAATTTGTTAGTTCTTGCCGTTAATGACCTTTACACCCCAAAGTCACACACAGTACGCTTGGGCTGCCTATGGTTTAACGCTCTCTCTTATTTTCGTATTGATAACAGTCCGCACTTCTCACCCAAATAATAATAATAATAATAAATAATAATAATAAATATATTTCAAAACTTTCCTTAGCTCACAACTGCTGCAAATCTTCATTCACAATATTTCTCGCTTGAAAAAAAGTCGTTTTGCAATTGAGAAAAATTCTGCCTTATTTAGACAGAGGTTTATCTTAAAATGTTTAACCCCATCTAATTTCAAATATTTAAAACCCATTTTTGACATATCTTGTCTCTGTAAATACTACGTGTCTTTTTGCACGCTAAGATAAATTTGTTTCGAAATAAATTTTGGAGAAGAAGGCAGCTTTGAAAACAAGAAAAGATCTCGAAAGTGATACAGCTGTCTTACCATCAAACTTTGCATCGATATCAGGAAATCTTTTTTAAGACTTTGGACAGCTCTGAAAATAAAAACCCATTAACAAGGCTGGAATTGCTTTGACAAGACTCAAAATCTGTTGGCAAGCACATGAAAGCTCAAGTGAAAGCCAGGTGGCCTTGAAAAATATCTGGTCTAAAAGTAGATTAAAAAAAAAAAAAAGGAAAAGTGGCCTTTTTTACATTGAATCACTTCCCTTTTGCCGGACTGTTAATTAACCAAGTGTTCAGCGGCGTTCAGACTGAGATCCATCAGGTAAGTTTCATCGGTTACAATCCGAAAAGAGGATATGGTAAATGGGTATTCTATAATTTTTTTTACGGTTATCCTCTACATAGCAGGAGAGAAAGGTCACTTAAAAACAAAGCCGAAAGTAGGTCAAAAAATAATTTGTAACACAGCATCATCCGACGTTAACCATTCTCATAAACATATTGATTGGGAAACGGCATCTCATTCAAAGCCAACCGCGCTGTTATTGTTGTATGCAAGAAATAAAAGTGTCCTGCTGCATTAGGAAGCTGAGTCAAAGCTACTGCATATAATTTCAATACAGTTTTCTTTTTTCTTTTTCTAGACATGGCTGCTGCAAAGTTGATTTTGATGGTGGTGCTCCTTGCATTGTTGACTTTCGTGGAACAAACCAAATCTGAAAACAAGTGCTCAGGTGAGTTTTGAACCTTCAGACCCTCTTACTGACATCCCCACCGTGGTAATAGAGTTCTTACAAGAGGAGGGGGGGGGAGGAAAGGGGGAGAGAGGAATCTCGCCACTTCCATCCCAATATTTTGGAGACTTTTTTATCTATTATAGGTAGATAGCTTTTTCTGTTCGAGATAAAACAATGGGATAAAAATTTTTCGTTTTTCTCGTCTCTTTGTAGACCTTGCGACCTCTAAATGCCATGTTTCTGTTGATACTTGAACTTTTAACGTATGACAAACTTATTTAGTAAAATCATCATGCATCTATGACCAAGGAAAGTGCTGCGTCATACTTTACTTTTCTCTTGATCTTGAAATCGTTTCAAGTTTCAATGAAAAAGCTTCAAGGGTTGTGACCGTTTTTTTCCTCTTTTCTTAGTCAGCGGGATGGGGGATACTAAGTGATTTTCCGTTCGTGATTCCTGGAAGAGGTCGGTTTATTTATTATGTTGGTAATTTTTGTTTTTTCTTGCTTTTACTCAGTTAACCCATCCTCCGTTATTCTTTGTGAGAATGCCAAAGCAATCATTGGGTGCCCAAACAGGAAAAAATTGCATATAGTTTACGCGTCTTATGGCAGACATACCCGTAGTATCTGCCCTCACCATAGCATTCACACCACTTCTTGTCATGCATCGCACTCCCTTCTGAAAGTGAGTTTAAGATGCAACGGCAGAATCGCCTGTCATATACATGCAAGTCACTTGTTGTTCGGTGACCCGTGCTATGGAACGTACAAGTATCTTTATGTCAGCTACGTCTGCTACTAAAAGGTAAGTGTTAATATTTGAATGATATGTAGTGATTTGGTTCCCATTTAGTGGAAAGCTGACTGCGTATCTGGCGAAAAATGGCAAGTTCGAATCTAGGATTTCAGATCCTTGTAACGTTCTTTTCGGTCTCCCTCTAGATATCGGCTTATTCTGCTCGCTATTACACCGCTTTTGTAACTTTCTCTTTTCTACGGACTTTTATCGTACTAGTTTCTTTGCAAACTTTCAAACCAAAATATGGGATGTTACCTTCATGTAGATTTTTTTTTGCTTGACATACTTATACTTAAGATTGAAAATTTATGATAATATTTCTTTTCTTTACTTTTATGTTTTTATTATTATCATTATCATTGTTATCACTATTTTGTGTATATGTGCACGATCCTTCGCAGTAAAGCACTACTTAAGCAATAGTGAAAATCAGACCTGAAAAAAAATGTCAGGCCTGTACGGGATTCGAACCACTGACCTCTGCGATACTAGTGCAGCGCTCTACCAATTGAGCTAACAAGCCAACTGGGAGCAGGCCATCAAATTAATTCGACATAAACCCGTAGATGATAAATGAAACAACAAACATATGAAATACATATATATGAACTGCGGTTATGAAACGTATATGTGCTATATCATCTACGGGTTCATGTCGAATTAATTTGATGGCCTGCTCCCAGTTGGCTTGTTAGCTCAATTGGTAGAGCGCTGCACTAGTATCGCAGAGGTCAGTGGTTCGAATCCCGTACAGGCCTGAATTTTTTTCAGGTCTGATTTTCACTATTGCTTAAGTAGTGCTTTACTGCGAAGGATCGTGCACATATACGTTTCATAACCGCAGTTCATATATATGTATTTCATATGTTTGTTGTACTATTTTGTGTATATATATATACACAGCTTCCGGTAAAATAATATCAAAACATTGCATCCCTTCCTTTCTTTAGAGACAAACAACCGCATAACAAAAATAAATCTATCCGCATGAAAACTGTTCAATAAAACTTAGTAACATGAAACCGAATCTAACAGACTTCAACATAAGTCCAACGTGTCAACAGAGTTTAGTTCATAAAGTACATAGTCCTTGTACTTCTCCGGCATTCTGAAATTCCGTCTTGGTCTTGATGTCGCTATATTGTCCTCCTGTGGAAGGGTAGTTGAAGCGTCTTGAGAAATGGCCTCTGTGGCTTCCGGTAATTCCCTGGTGGGTTGTACCGCTTAACCAAGGCACTGTTCCGCCTATATTCCACACCCTCTTTGGACCTAACAGTCACCTCACTGCCTTCTTTAGTCTGCACTGTGTATGGCTCACTCTCAAAATTTGCTTCCAGCTTGTCAGACGTTTTCGTGTTCTTCAGTAAAACCGGGTCCCCAGGCACTACAGGGTTTACGGGGTAGCCCCTTGCTTGTTGTCAGCATGTTCCTTGTGGACCAACTTGTGATTCCAATCACGATCTCTGACCCCCTCGTCCAACAGGTTACCAGCGCACCTTAACTCTGGAAGTTTTGTTTTCAACTCTCTGCTAAACACGAGGAACGTAGGAGTAACCCCAGTGCTTGTTTGCGGTGTAGTTCTATATGCTAACAGAAACTTCTGCAGTTCTTCACGCCAGTTCTTTCCCTCGACATGAGCAACTTGCAAAGACTTAAGCAGAGATCTATTCTGTCTCTCGACATGTCCATTAGCCTGCTGCCAGAGTGGTTGAGATGTCAAGTGTTCGATTCCTTGATCAGAAAGAAACTTCTCAAACTCCTCACAGCTAAACTGTGGACCATTGTCAGATTTGAGTGTAAATGGAAATCCATATCTGGAGAATATCTGTCAGTACATCCACCACTCTCTTAGCTGTTGTTGAGCGCTGATCGCTACCTCGTAGAATCTGTGGTAATAGTCTACGACTACGAGTAAACTTTCTCCAGTGGGAAGAGGACCCAACAAGTCTATGGCGATGTCTTGCTAGGGTCCAGTAGGCGGCTTTACTCTTTTCATGGGCTTAGGATCTTGAAGTTCACCTACGACTTGGCATCCATAACAAGACTTACACATCCGCTCTGCGTCTGAGTCAATCTTTGGCCACCAATCATTTGTACTTAAACGTGCCTTCATTTTAACGATGCCTTGATGTCCCTCGAGGGCAAGACGCAAGACTTCTCCCCGTAAATCCTTCGGAACAACAATTCTTGTACCACGCAAAACAAGTTTGCCCAACATACACAATTCATCCTTGACACACACATAAGCTGTCATCTTACATTGAGACCAGTCCCCACCTAAAATGTACTGTCTCAGGCTCGCAAGTTCTGGGTCACTTTCAGAAGCCAATTGGACTTGTTTCTCTGTCAGGACAACAGGTAAACTTTCCTCGGCGACTGCCTCAACGAAGTAAAATTCCTCCCCACTTGAGTCTTTAGTTTCATATTGATTGAATCTCGAGAGAGAGTCCAAAATGTTCGCTTTGCCAGGCCGATAAACCACTCTTAAGTCATACCCCTGTAGTCTCGGAACCCATCGTTCAATATGTGCTGACGGTTTGGAAAGCTTGCCAAAAATACACTCGAGTGGCTTGTGATTAGTTTCAAGTTAAAATTTCTCACAAACCCATACAAGGCCAAGGGCCGCCTTCTCGGTCTGGCTGTATCTCCATTCCACTTTGATGAGGTTCCTAGACGCGTATGAGATTGCTCGCCACTCGCCGTCTTGAAATTGAGTCAGCACCGCACCCAAACCCTGTGGACCTGCATCGGCAATAATGCGCGCGTTACAGTCTCCCCTGAAATACGCAAGCGAAGTGGCCTGTGCAACAAGCTCTTTCAACTTCTGGAAGGATTTTTCCTGTGTTTCACCCCAGATGAAAGGCTCATTTTTCCTCACGGGGCTCCTGAGTGGTTCTGCTTCTTGTGCAAAGTTGGGAAGAAACTTTGCAGAATACTGCACAAGCTGAACAAATGATCTGACCTGTGAAGCATCTTGTGGAGGGCTTGCCTTTAAGATGGCAGCTACTTTCTCTTCACTGGGTGCAACACCTTGCCTACTTAAGTCATGACCGAAGAATGTTAGCTTGGGAAGACGAAACTGGCATTTGTCCCCATTCAGTGTTATTCCTTTCTCTTTCAATCGGGTCAGTACGGCATGTAAATTCCTGTCGTGTTCCTTTATGCCACAACCATGCACAATCAAATCATCTGCCATATGAGTTACTCCCTTGCAACCATGTAAAACATCTGCCACAATTTTCTGGTACTTTTCGGGCGCCGATGTTACCCCAGACATCAAACGTTTGTATCTGTATCAACCACGGTGTGTAACAAACGTTGTGATCTCGCGCGATCTTTCATCAAGTTACACCTGGTGGAAACCCTACTTGAGGTCGAGCTTGGAGAAAACAGTTGAGCCATTAAGGTCGTACAAGATGTCTCTTCCTCTCTATTGCTGAATTCGCCCTGCGCATGTCCACGCAAATCCGAATGTCATCATCTGTCTTCGGGACAACAACCAACGGCTAGACCCACTAAGTTGGGTTGTGTGACACCTCCTCGATGATATCTTTTGCTAACAGCTCATCCAACTTCTCGTCAACCTTGGCTCTTAACCCAAATGGTAGTCTCCTGACGGGTTGTGCAACAGGCCTGACATCGTTTTTTATGCATAATTTCTGCTGGAAATCCTTCAGTTTCCCGACCCCTGTAAAAACCTCTCTGCACTTCTCACGGATGTCGGCATCACTTCCTTCAGTAGTTAATGAACACACATCTGGACCGACCCTTTGTACGCCCAACTTCTCAGCAGTGTTCTTTCCGAGTAGTAATCTTCGTGGACCTTTAACCACTGTGAATTCATCGACACAACTGATGCCCCTAATCTCGCATACAATCTCAGACTTTTTTCCTTTTTTCCCGAGGAAAAACTGAATGGAACAAACTCCCAAAAGAAACTGTTTCTAGCCAACCCCTCCGTACTTTTAAAAGCAAACTAACTTAAATTTATTTATCGGTAGTTTTAAATAGTTTTTATTAATTTTCAATAGTTTTTAATAGTGTTGTATATTTAGTATAGCCTCACTTATTATTATCTTAGAGTTGGCGTGATGTCCTAAACGATTTTGCCGACATAACGATATTTAGATTTAGATTAGACACAAATGTCCCAATCACCTCAATAGGGTCTTTCTGCCCATAAGCAAACAACTTTATACTTGATTTCTTGGATTCACACTGGACACTCTTCTTCTTCAAAATTTCCCAGATTGCTTGGTCGATCACATGACGCGCCAGAGTCANGAAACCCAACTTTAAGAAAAGCAAATCAAACATGGAACATTTCTATACATGTAATTATCATATAACACATTGGGTAATGCTGTCTAAGTATCGCTCACTTATGCATTTTTTTTTAATTTTACTCTTTTTCCATAAAAGTATGATTATCAAAGGGATAAGCTGTCATCTGACTTGGCAGTCAGTTGAACCGTTTTGATTGGGAAAAGTATTATCTAAGTTATTGACTGTCAATTAATTGTTGGAAAGGTGCCCTGTGGGACACTGATCAAATGAGTCACAATCACAATTTCCACTGGAAACAATTCTAAACAGCAAACAAAGTTTGAAATATTTTACGGCAGTTTTGTCAGCCTACTCAGAAACAGTGACTGTATTTCTGCTTATACTTCACTCTAATTAATAACTTTGCTTTCACACAGCTGGTGAATCTGAGGAGCAAGTAGCAAGTGAAGAGATCCTAGTCTAGGCATTTTGTAAGTTCTTGAAGCATGTTTTTTAAATTGGGAATCGCTGGATAAATTCTATTAGAAAAATGGTTAAGGACTAATATATTTTTAAACTCTTAAAGAGAGACAATATTGAGCAGTTGAGTGCTAAAGTAACTTTTCTCTAAATACATCATTTCTGAAGCTAAAGAAATGGATAAAGTGCTCGAGACTGACATGGATGTCGCAGGAGAAGGTAACACTCCTTATAAATGAGCCAATATAAGCTACAATGATCCACACGATGCTTCATAAGGTGACCTATAATCACTCTACGTTGTTGTTTGGAGAAGACTTGAAGTAGTCGGTCGAAACGTCGCGATTCACATCAGAAGTGACCAGTTCAGTTGAGAGATAAAATATAACAATTGACTGTTTTTATACTTCATTTTGATGAACGGTCAAAACCTGACATATAATGTGGAACTGTCCCGCATTTTGTAACAATTTCTGGCGATACAGATATTTGTTCAACCACAGAAAACATAGCTGCCTTGCCGTACATCTCTTGGAATAAAAATAGTGACTATAATCAATGTTGTGGACCTAAGTTTTCAAAACATTTCCATACAGACCAGCTAGAACTATGGTGCGGTAATCAGTTTTTAACCTTTATGCCTTTCTCTCTCTGCTCAAAAAAAATCTACAAATGCTGCTCTTGCCTGAGCTTTTTACTGGGCGCCAAAAAATAACAAACTTAAGTCAGGGCAATATGGCTATGGACAATAGGTCCATTGCCGCTTTTATTGAAACAAACAGAGCAAGAATGCATTCCGTTAAGGTGTTTGCCCAGTAAAGGTACGGGCCCAGAAAAGCGCACCAACACTAACTATTCAACAAGAGAGAGTGGGCGGATCAGGGGGAGGAGGAGGGAGTCAAAAGACAGCTTCTCACTCCGAGTAATCGAGGCGAATGGAGAGCACATGGCTAGGGAGTTAATGTGACTTGTAAAAGCCCTCAGAGGGGGTCAAGCGTAATGGCCATTGACCCCTGACCCAAACCCAGTCCCCTTTATTGTGAAATAAATCCCGGTCAAAGATAGAAGGCATGAAAATTCTATTTGCGAGCAAATATTTTGTCTTGAAACAATAGATTCAGATTATAGTATTTAATTTGTTTTTCTATCACTTTTCAATTCCATCCAGGGGTAAAAGAGATGTTTGATGCCGGGCCAGGCGGTGTGCGCACTCCGATTGCAAAGCATTGTGGTAGCGTTATTTACAATATGGCGGTAAAAGCGGTAGAAATCGGTAAAGTTTGACTGAATATTCCGTAAAAGTTAGGTCGTTTCTTTTTCCTTTCACTATAGGTAAACATAATTTGATATATTCTGAACGTGTAGAAGTATTTTTCGTGCGTATTTGTCCGGAATTATATCGTTCTCAAGACTGAATCAAGGTCAGTGGTTCGAATCCCGTACAGGCCTGAATTTTTTTTCAGGTCTGATTTTCACTATTGCTTAAATAGTGCTTTACTGCGAAGGATCGTGCACATATACGTTTCATAACCGCAGTTCATATATATGTATTTCATATGTTTGTTGTTTGATTTATCATCTACGGGTTTATGTCGAATTAATTTGATGGCCTGCTCCCAGTTGGCTTGTTAGCTCAATTGGTAGAGCGCTGCACTAGTATCGCAGAGGTCAGTGGTTCGAATCCCGTACAGGCCTGAATTTTTTTTCAGGTCTGATTTTCACTATTGCTTAAATAGTGCTTTACTGCGAAGGATCGTGCACATATACGTTTCATAACCGCAGTTCATATATATGTATTTCATATGTTTGTTGTTTGATTTATCATCTACGGGCTTATGTCGAATTAATTTGATGGCCTGCTCCCAGTTGGCTTGTTAGCTCAATTGGTAGAGCGCTGCACTAGTATCGCAGAGGTCAGTGGTTCGAATCCCGTACAGGCCTGAATTTTTTTTCAGGTCTGATTTTCACTATTGCTTAAATAGTGCTTTACTGCGAAGGATCGTGCACATATACGTTTCATAACCGCAGTTCATATATATGTATTTCATATGTTTGTTGTTTGATTTATCATCTACGGGTTTATGTCGAATTAATTTGATGGCCTGCTCCCAGTTGGCTTGTTAGCTCAATTGGTAGAGCGCTGCACTAGTATCGCAGAGGTCAGTGGTTCGAATCCCGTACAGGCCTGAATTTTTTTTCAGGTCTGATTTTCACTATTGCTTAAATAGTGCTTTACTGCGAAGGATCGTGCACATATACGTTTCATAACCGCAGTTCATATATATGTATTTCATATGTTTGTTGTTTGATTTATCATCTACGGGTTTATGTCGAATTAATTTGATGGCCTGCTCCCAGTTGGCTTGTTAGCTCAATTGGTAGAGCGCTGCACTAGTATCGCAGAGGTCAGTGGTTCGAATCCCGTACAGGCCTGAATTTTTTTTCAGGTCTGATTTTCACTATTGCTTAAGAAAAAAAAAGGAATTGGGTTGCAGTTTATTTTCTCCCAATAAAAATTATACACAGGTGCTATTTATAATAATTGTCTTTGAGTCGCGAAGATTTCTGAGCATATGAATCCAAAATGTCATCATTCAAGAGAATTGAATGAGCATCATCAACTGAAAAAAGGAGTCATTTCAACAGAAAATGGAAAAGCAACTGAAATAATACTTTGCCTTGAACCATCCTTGATCATCAATAAACTCATTCCAAGACCAAAGCTATATCATCTCTGAAAAGGAAAGCAAACAAGTAGTAACCTTATATCGTGACACTTTAAGAGCTTCTGCAAACAACCTAGAAGCTGCCAAATACATACTAGGCAAGGCATAAGGCAAAGCCTACGAGCATCGTCACTATAATATACCTGTAAATACAAGTACTGTCTTGAATAAAATAGATGCAAATGTGAAAGAGACACTAATTTCAAATGAATTCAGTCTTGATAATAAGTTGTGATTGATCATGACCATAGATAGATTACAACAATAACAACTTTATCAGTGAGGAAAACAATATCAATGTGTTGTAAATTGTAAAGCGCACTCTATGCATGACGACACGAGTCATGTCCTGAATGATTTAGTACTTTTTTTGATCAGCAAACACCCAAAGTCTTGTTTATGTTTGATGCCTTTAGATTATTAGATTAAATAAATTATTAAATTATTACAAAACTGAAGAGCACCACACAGTTATTGACATATGAACTTTTGTACATACTTACCATGCCAGGTGTCAAAGGAATTCTTGATGCCTCTTTGTTCAAACCAATTTATCAATGATTTGACACAGTCATGGGCCACCTCTGTTAAGTTGTATGCTAAAAGCAAGTATGTTTGATATGTTATGGTTTTTAGTAAGACAGGAATCCCACATCATAACAGCCAAAATGGAGAAACAGAGCTATCAATTTATTAAAAATGCTGCAGGGGGAGGGGGGGGGCAAGAATCACAAAGACGACTGATAAGATGATAGAAGTGGAAACAGGCTTTCAGAAAAGTGAGGCACGAGTTATCAAACTCATGGGGCTTAGCATTCGGTTAGAATTTCTTACTTCATAGAAATAGCTGTCACTGTAGAATGCAGTCATGTCTGGCATCTGTTATCATACACTGAAAGAGTAATTAGAATAAAAAATGAATGGAAGGAAACTGAGCATTGAAGGTAACTTGAATGAAGGTACAAAATGACCTAGCACTGCATAAGGTGTTATTTCAAATTTTGCCCACTGCAAATAACTTCAACAACACTGAACACTTCCGGTAAGATTTTCGCCGACAATCTGATCGATTTCTCTTACATTGTGTGCTGAGACTGAAACTTTTCACCTCACGCAAATCTCTGTCGCAAGGTCCAAACAAACATAGCGAGCAACTGAGCTACTGGTTTATGTCTGTGTTAAAACACACGAAAGGACTCTAAAGCACACTTCACTCTAATTGGGCAGAAAAACACAAAGATTTTTTGGCACCAATCAGATGGCAGAATGACTGCGACCGTTTTGGAACTAGTCTTGTAAGACAATGTCCCCAGGGACTCTTCATGCCCTAACTTGAAATCAACTCAGCCCCTGGGTCTCTGAGGATGAGACCGTTGGTGTTCGGGACCGGTTGAAGTTTCCAGTCTTGAGTTTTTTTATACATAGTTGACCAGCACACGCGTTACAAAGAAAGTCGCCAAAAGAGCGTTAAATGGACCGTAAACGACAAAGCACCTATGGAAAAAAGGAAAGGAGACTTCATACGATATATTCCTCGCTTTTATTTCCCTTTTTAATTTTTTCTTCATTTTTCTTATCATTTTTCCTATTATAAAGTTGACTCAGGTGACACCGCACGCGTTACAAAGCAAGTCGCCAAAACAGCGTTAAAACGACCGTTGACAATTAAGCGGCTACGGAAAAAAATAAGGAGACTTCACATGTTTTATTCTTCGCTTTTACTATCCTTTAAATTATTTATTTATTTGTTTATTTTTTTTTTTCAATTTGTCCCTTTTTAACGGCCCACACGTACGCTTGAAATTCGATCTTGATATGTTAGTTATTGCCGTTAATGAACTTTACACCACAAAGTCACACACAATACGATTGGGCCACCTGTGGTTTAACGCTCTCTCTCTCTTATTTTCGTATTGATAACAAGCCACGCTTCTCACCCAAATATATTTTTAAAATTTCCTTAGCTCACAACTGCTGCAAATCTTCATTCACAATATTTCTCGCTTTAAAAAAGTCATATTGCAAATGAGAAAAATTCTGCCTTATTTAGACAGAGGTTTATCTTAAAATGTTTAATCGCATCTAATTTCAAATATTTAACACCCATTATTGACATATCTTGTCGCTGTAAATACTACGTGTCTTTTTGCACGCTAANATTGCTATAAGTCGCTCTGCCTTAAAAATACCAAGAGATCAGTTCAAAGTTGTTTTTCTTTTGCTTTTTTCTCCATAAAGAAGGTCCACAGAACTTAAATCGTTCAATATTTTATATGGCACCAAAAATTCATCCTTCTAGTTGGCATTTTGAAAGTGCTATAAAACTCCATTGGTAAATTGTGCTGCCAAACGAATTTGACCATGAACTCTACTATAGTGGACCTTTTACTTCATAAATATAACTTTGTTCTCAAGTGATTAGAGAGAGAGGGGCCTGGGGCTAAAGTTAGGTCAAATTTGAGGTCAAAATCATTACCCAAAATTGTCATTTTTCGAAAATCCATTACACTCACCTGCCTTCTTGCATGACTTTCATACCAAATCTAGTATGTACTTTAGTGACCCATGTATCAAAACCAGTTGAGAAAAAATTGGCTTATTAATATTTGTTAGGTTTTTGGCACAAACTCTTCATGCCCCTCTAAGACCAAGCAACATGGAGTTTTCAGCACAATTCATGTTATAAACAGACCAAATTCTTGATTCTTGATTTTGTATTTGGTGAGTGAAAATGAAACGCTAAAGCCAATCCATTGTCATTATCTAGAAATACCTCGACTTATAGCTTACAAATGCTTTAAGAAGGCCTCTGATTAGCACTACAAACACCCGGGTTTAGCAAATAAAGGTAATTTTTTCTTTTTGAAAACCTAGAACCCATCATTTAGCACAAATGGTAATGTCCTCGCCTAGATATGACAATCTTCTTTTAGAGATGCTTGAATTTCCTCTGATTTATATTTTTCAGGTAATATTTCTTTACATACTATACTCACAAGCATGAAAAGTCTCTATTTTGTCGGACCCATTTATTGATGCAATATGAAGTGAGCTTAACGAAAATGACCGTTAACAGAATATCTATGGTTAAACTTTTGATAGCCTCGCTAGCTCTAGTAAATACGCATGATGGTATCAGTAAAAGAGCAGGATGATACATACAAGTTGTAGTGAGTAGCGTCCAGACGACTTGTGCTCTATCCGATTTCCCTGGTACGTTAGAGCTTAATAAATCAAATCACCCGACAGTAAATGAGAAATCCAGTTAGAAGAGCTGGAGAACAAATATTTTGTGTTGCAGCTTATGTGAAACATGCCACTCAACACCTCGAGATGCGATTGTTATTATAACGACTAACCCACCATGGTAGACGTGAGAGTGAGAGGACTACTGACAAAACAAAGAGCCTTCTCGATGTNTATCAACTCAGTTGATAAAACCAAATTACCTGTCACCCCAGCAGACGCAGCCCCAAGTCTCTTTAGAAAGTTACCCCCTTCATTCACCGACGTCGACTTCTCTTCCTTTTTCTTTTATGGGCTGTTAGCCCTAACACTCAAGATGTGACAAACTTTGAAATGGATGGTTTGTGCAAGCCTAAATTGATTCACCATAGTTTTTAAACTTTTTACAATGGCCAATTTACATATCAACTCAGTTGATAAAACCAAATTACCTTGTTACCCCCCACCAACGCAGCCCCAAGTTTCTTCAGAAACTTACCCCCTTCATTCACCGACGTCGACTTCTCTACCTTTTCCCTTTTGTTCATCTAGCCCATGTGCTGTTATTGCGCAAATTCAGAATGTAAATTCTTACATGAGTCGAGGGAAAAGAGGATATTATGCCTTAAAAAAACGTACAGTAAGTGTTGTCATGGAGAGGAGGGAGGGGGGCTTAAGACCCGACACTGACTCATATTGAAAAGGCCTACTCTGGGACCTTAAGTCGCCGTAACTTTGGGTGACTTTGGGCGATTTAAGGCGACTTAAGGCGACTTAAACAAAATTGCCAGAAAAAACACTGCGAGTTTAAGTGACTTAAGGCGATTTAAGGTGACTTAAGGGAACTTAAAGCGATCTTATTTGACTGAAGTGATAAAATCAAAGTTAGCAGCAGTCTCTCTGTAAACGTTTAAATTAATTACAGAATCCCTTGCAATAAACACAAACAAGTCTATGAACCCGCACAAGTAGAAGACGACGATGATAAATTTTTTAAACTGTACGCAGACGTCATGAAAGCTTTCCTCACTTACACGCAACACTGTAATAAGATCTTTAATAATAATAATAATAATAATAGTAATAAGATGTTTCAAGACGAACTAAAGGAAGAAGAAGAAGAAAGAGAAAGAGACACCCAAGACTCAAAACAATGACTGACACTTTTCTTGTTTTTTCTTATTTTACACTTCATTTGTAAACTATTTTGATATCCTCATTAAATCTTTTTTTAAAAATAATTTCGATCGCGTGGCTTTTTTCTGACAGCTTGTCAATCAATAAAAAACAGACATTACCGTTGAAAAATACATTTATGTATAAAATGATCTTACATTTTAAAAACATTTCATTTTTAAACACGATACAAACAAGTTCGAAGTTTCACTCCAGAGTCTTTGAGGCAGCAGGAAGCTTTCTTCTCCACTTTTAGACAAAGTTTTTAGTCAGCTGGATGGGAGTTAGTAAGTGATCAGTTCCGTTCGGGATTCCTCAAAGAGGTCGGTTTATTTATTATGGCGGTAATTTTTGTTTTTTCTTGCTTTTACTCAGTTAACCCATCCTCCGTTATTCTTTGTGAGAATGCCAAAGCAATCATTGGGTGCCCAAACAGGAAAAAATTGCATATAGTTTACGCGTCTTATGGCAGACATACCCGTAGCATCTGCCCTCACCATAGCATTCACACCACCTCTTGTCATGCATCGCACTCCCTTCTGAAAGTGAGTTTAGGATGCAATGGCAGAATCGCCTGTCATATACATGCAAGTCACTTGTTGTTCGGTGACCCGTGCTATGGAACATACAAGTATCTTTATGTCAGTTACGTCTGCTACTAAAAGGTAAGGGTTAACACTTGAATGATATGTAGTGATTTGGTTCCCATTTAGTGGAAAGCTGATGGGGTATCTGGCGAAAAATGGCAAGTTCGAATGTAGGATTTCAGATCCTTGTAACGTTCTTTTCGGTCTCCCACCAGATATCGGCTTATTCTGCTCGCTATTCCACCGTTTTTCTAACTTTCTCTTTTCTCCGGACTTTTATCGCGCTAGTCTCTTTGCAGAATTTGAAACAACAGTACGGGATGTTACTTTCATGTAGATCTTTTTTGCTTGACCTACTTATACTTAAGATTGAAAATTTATGATAATATTTCTTTTTTTTACTTTTATGTTTTTATTATTATCATTATCATTATTATCACTATTTTGTGTATATATATATATATGCTTATATATTACTTTTTTATCTAGTCTTAGCTCACAGATAAAAGCTCGTTAGCTACTCTAAAACTCGATTATAAATAAAGTGTATGTATGTTGTCAAAAACAAAAACTATTGTTCGCAGTTTGTCTAAGAACCCCTCAACATTCCGTAAAGTATTTCTTTTTTCGTTCAAGTGTACATTCGGGATAGAAAAGCTTCCCTGAATAGTCTTGTGTTTTGTTGTTGTTGTTGTTTGTTGTTTGTTTTTTGTTTTTTTTTTTTGTTTTGTTTTGTTTTGTTTTTGTTCCATTACCTGAGAGAAACAATAATAAAAATAATGACAAAAAAACTTCCTAGCAAGCCCATTCCCTTGCATCACAGCAAGGATATTAGTGCGAAAGAAGTTTTATTATTTCAATTTATTCGACTTTCTGGTGTTTCATTCCCTTTTTTCTCAACAGATGTCTTGCAAGCACCAGACTGAATACTGAAGACAGGGTCCAACTGATTCAAGGCATTTGGGTAGTAGTCACGTTAAAAACAAAAACTAAATTAGGTATATCAGAACTGTATTCAAAAGATAATTGTAATGGTGTGGG